GTGACTAATGCGAAAGTGAGCTTCTAAAAGAGGGGCTTATGCTGTCCCAATGGCTGCCTCATTTGGGGCCACCTGCGAGAGAGAGGTGTTGCCAAGCAGATAATATTCTCCATTCTTGATTCTTCCACCTCATCGTCCCCCTTTGTACAACTCACTCAGTGTTGACAAGAAGAGGAACACACAGCTCAAAGCCAAGCCTCTTGGTCATCTGTGCCAGCTGGTCTTGCCCTCAAAAGCATTCTCCTTTTTCTGGATTCATTGGGTTGTCTCGACACTCTGCTCCAGGGATTTTAAGAACCTTAGGTTTGAGGAAACCAACACCACGATCTTAATTCCCATTGGGCATTTAACTCGGTCTTAAACTCAAGAAATAGTCATCTTATAGAGGAAAGTGTCTGGGAAATTTTTACGGACATTCATTATCTGCTAGCACTCGCCCACCATTAACACACAGTCACTTCCCAGAATCTTGGGGGTTTTATTAAGACATTTAATATCTTTGCATGTTGGGGCCACTAAAAGTCTAGTGATGCTTTAGATCTACCACATGGGAACCTGTCTCTAAAACTTCCAGGTACTTTTGAGTTAACGAATTTAATGCAAGAATTTTATTAGGACTCGCATTTTTTATCGGTCTCAAAAAACCAACGTAACAGGTGGATGATTTCCCATGTTCACCCTTCGTCACCAGTTTTCACAGGCGAGTTTGGTCGGGCTGGAAGGCGCTGATTTAATACAATAATAATCCTTTGCCCTTTTATGGAGTTCTTTACTCTTTTGGGGGGGATTACATATATCAATGTAACCCCTCCCCCCCCCCATACTAAATTGTCACAAGCCGCATTTAGCCTCATGCTGCTTCTGTGAGTCAAGCAAGTGGTAACCCATTCGGTGCGGCTTCTGACAAATTAGGTTCCTAAAAATTGAGAGACGCTCTGGTTGAGCTGAGTCTGCCCATCGCAGAGCTGGGTATGTGATCAGGGCGTTTACACCAGGGCGGCACTGAAGGCAGTTTCCAAGTGACTGCATGTCAGTAGTCATTGATAAACTTCTCATGGCTTTAGGAAAGGGAAATTGTTTACAGTACATCCTCACTGGGAGGCGTGCCACTGTTGCGAACACTCACCCCAAAGAGGCAGCTCCCTTGGGGGTGACTACCTGACAGGCATAGGATGGTCACACTGCTGAGCAGGTTCTGATAGCTCTGTGTAAGGCAGGGCTGCCCGAATTAAATCTAGCCTAGGCAATGTGCATTCCTGTTAGAGGAAACACACTTGGTCTCTCTGGAGGAAAATGCTTTGCTTTTTATTTTCTGCAGAGAGCTGCATTGGTGCATTGTAGCATTTTCGACTTAATGGTTTTGCGCTCTGACTTGGAAGTTTGCTGCTCAGTCTTAGTCTCTTGTTAGCATAGAGCTGTGGTTCTCACCCTGTGGGTGGTGGGTTCCCAGGGGCCTGAGGTGCTATTTTCAAGGATCAGAGGATTGCTTTTTGTGATGCAAACATCGCTGGTAGACAGAATAAACAGTATGTCTCCTTCATGTATATGCTACGCTTTTTCAAATGTATGCAGAGGAACCATCATCAAGAATTCCATCAGTGGGTAGGAAATGTCCTACGGTGTGGGTATTGAGGAATTTCTTTTTAATGTTCAAAAGGAATTCTTATACTCAAAAAAGTTGAGTACAAAGGGGCAGAGCGACATTGGCTTTTCAAATCGGTGCCGTTTCCATGTCATTCTGGGTTCTCTTTTTTTCCATGGAATTAACATTTTTGTCCTGGCCATAATCACTGTTTCAAAGAGGTTGTTGTCTCATTTAAGGTAACCCCGGGAGTCAGTGGGATACTTTAGAGTCTGCTTCATTGTTTTTCCTTATGCCTATTTTTTTTTTTACCGTGAGAAAATATATATAACATAAAATTTACCATTTTAACCATTTACAAAGGTACCGTTCAGTGGCATTGATTACAGTCATATCCTTGTGCAAAACTCACCACCCTCTGTCTCTAGAACTTTTTCATCCTCCCAAACTGAGACACTGTACTCATTAAATGCTAACTCCTCATCCTCCCCTCCTCCAGCCCCCTGGCAATCTCTATTCTACTGTCTTTGCCAATTTGACTACTCCTGATCCCTCATATAAGTGGAGTCATACAGCACCTTTTGTGACTGCTTTATTTCATTAGCATAGTGTTTAAGGATTCATGCATGTTGTAGCATGTGTCAGAATTTCCTTAAAAATTTTTTTTTAACATTTATTTGTTTTTGAGAGAGAGAGAAGAGACAGAGCAGTACAGGGGAGGGGCAGAGAGAGGGAGACGCAGAACTCGAAGCAGGCTCCAGGCTCCACACTGTCAGCACAAAGCCTGATGCAGGGCTCGAACTCATGAACTGTGAGATCACGGCCTGAGCCAAAGTCGGACACTCAACCGACTAAACCACCCAGGCACCCCAGAATCTCTTTCCTTTTTAAGGCTGAATGATAGTCCACTGGGTGTATGCATACTGCATTCTGTTTACCTATTCATCTGTTAGTGAACACTTGGGTTGCTTCGCCTTTTAGCTATCGTGAATACCGCTGCTGTGAGTGCAGGTGTCCAAATATCTGTTTGACTCCCTGTTTTCATTTCCTTTGAGTACGCACCTAGAAGTGGAATTGCTGGGTCACATGGTAATTCTACGTTTCATAGTTTGAGGACCTGCCAGACTGTTTTCCACAATGCTGCACAATTTTACATTCCCACCAGCAACGCACATGGGTTCCAATTTTCTCTACATCCTCGCCAGCACTTAGTTTCTGTTTTCTTTTTTTTTTTTTTCTTCAATTTTCACAGGCCACGGAGATAGCATTGGGTAAATTGCTAGCTCACTGCTCTCACGTCCTGGCTGCCTCAACAGCTGCCGTTTGCACACAGGAGGCAAAATGGAGAGGCTGTGCCTCGTGTTCCTCTTGCGCTTGTCCCCCTGCCCTCCACACTCACCTCCATCTGTGTCCCCGTGCTTGTCCCCATCCTGCTTCCTTAGCTCCGGCCCCACAGCAGAGCTGCCTGGAGGGAAGGTGGCTCAATGCCAGGCCAACTGGGGCTTCTGCAGGCTGGTGATGTCCGGTTTCCACCTGGCCTTGCTGCTGCTCTGACAGCCTTGTGTGTTTTGCTCTCCAGCTCCCCGTCTTGGCTGCTCCTGCATACCTCTCCCCATATCACTTTTTTTTAAAAACAAGTTTATTTATTTAGAGAGAGACAGAGCCCACGTGAGCAGGGGAGGGGAAGCGAGAGAGAGAGAGAGAGAGAGAGGGAGAGAAAGAGGGAAAGAGAGAGAATCTCAAGTAGGTTCCACGCTGTCTGCACAGAGCCCGATGCAGGGCTCAAACTCACGAACCGTGCGATCATGACCCGAGCCCAAACCAAGAGTCAGATGCTTAACCGACTGAGCCACCTAGGTGCCCCTCCCCAGATCACTTGAATAAGCAACTATCAAATAATGGCTTCTGTGTTCTCAACACTGTGGGGTTGAGAACTATGGCAATAAACAGGAGCTACTCCTTCCCCAGGAAGAAACAGACCTGTACAAAGACCGATGTCCTTATGAGTCCGGGGCTAGGGTAGGCTGCCTCAGAAGCTGCACTGCCTCAGTGTATGAGGCCTGATCCACCACTTACCAGCCATGGGACCTTGAGCTTTTTCCTTGAAAAAATTATTTATTTGCTTTTATTTTTTGACTTCAAATTTTTAAAATTAAGCTCTTAATTTTAATTCCAGGGTTATTATCATATAGTGTAATATTAGTTTCAGGTGTACAACATAGTAATTCATCACTTCCATACATCACCCAGGGCTCATCGCAAGTGCCCTCCTTAATCCCCATCACCTATCTCACCCATCCCCCACCCGCCTCCCCTCTGGTCACCATTAGTTTGTTCCCTATAGTTGAGTCTGATTCTTGGTTTGTCTCTATTTTTTTTTCCTTTGCTCATTTGTTTTGTTTCTTCAATTCCACCTATGAATGAAGTCACATGGTATTTGCCTTTCTCCGACTGAATTATTTCACTTAGCATAATACCCATGTTACAAATGGCAAGATTTCATTCTTTTTTCCTGCTCGAATAGTATTCCATTGCATAAATATTTATCATTGGACACTTGGGCTGCTTCCATAATTTGGCTATTGTAAGTAATTCTGCAATAAACCATAGGTGTGAACATATCTCTTGATTTAGTGGTTTTGTATTTTTTGTGGAAATGCCCAGTAGTGTGATTACTTGATCATAGGGTAGTTCTATTTTTAAATGTTGAGGAACCTCCCGACTATTTTCCACCGTAGCTGCACCAGTTTGCATCCCCACCAACAGTGCAAGAGGGTTCCCGTTTCTCCACATCCTCACCAACACTTGTTGTTTCTTGTGTTTTTGACTTAAGCCATTCTGACAGATGTGAGGTGATATCTTATTGTAGTTTCGATTTGCATTTCCCTGACGGTAAGTGATCATGAGAATCTTTTCATGTGTCTGTTGGCCATATGGCTGTCTTCTTTGGAGAAATGGCTCTTAATGTGTTCTGCCTATTTTTATGTTGGATTATTTGTTTTTTGGGGTGTTGAGTTGTACAAGTTCTTTATTTTGGACACAAACCCTTTATCAGATATGTCATTTGCAAATATCTTCTCCCATTCAGTAGATGGCCTTTTAGCTTTGTTGATGGTTTCCTTCACTGTGCAGAAGCTTTTTATTTTGATGTAGTCCCAATAGTTTAATTTTGCTTTTATTTCCCTTGCCTCAGGAGACACATCTAGAAAAATGTTGCTATGACTGATGTCAGAGAAATTACTGCCTGTGCTGTCTTCTAGGACTTTTGTGGTTTCAAGTCTCACATTTAGGTCTTTAGTCCATTTTGAATTTATTTTTGTGTGTGGTGTAAGAAAGTGGTCCAGTTTTATTCTTTTGTGTGTTGGTGCCCAGTTTTCCCAGAGCCATTTATTGAAGAGACTTTTGCCGTTGGATATTCTTGCCTCCTTTGCTGAAGATTAATTGACCATCTACCTATGGGTTTATTTCTATGGTTTTTTTTTTTTATTCTCTTCTGTTGACTTATGTCTATTTTATGCCCATTTTCTTTATTTGAAAAATAGTAGCTATCTCTTTTGACACTTAGTTGATGCATGAGAACCTGCCTGATACATAATCAGCTTATTGTAAATGCTGTTACAATAAGCACACCATTAGCTACGGGAGCCCAGAGGAGGGACTTGTGGATCCTAGATTGTATATTTGACATGGCACACATCTTCAGTGGCGCACCTGTCTTATGTTGCATAATGATGGGTTGTTCTTTTTAAGTGAAGCCTAAGGGCCTTGAATATAGAGCTTCTGTGCCTTTCTTTTCCTGTACCCGTGCCATACCTGCTCCGTGCTAAGCACTTTGGAGGCGTAAATACTGCAGTAAATACTTGTTGATTGTGAACTGATCGGAACTGAGGGAGAAATGAACACAATTCCTTTCCACGCACCCAAAGGGTGCAGGAAAACACACTCCCCAGCAAACCTGAATGAAGAAGAGACATTTGCTGATGCTGCCATTGGTCCCACCCCTCTTGGGAGTGGGGTGTGGGGGTGCGCGGGCTGGAGAAGTGTAGGGAGCAGCCGTAACAGGGAACCTGATGGGCAGGACGGCCTGGGTCTCAGACAAAGCTCGTCGTCAACCATTGTCCTACAAGGAAAAGCTGCCATGGCCATGACTCAGAGAGGGAAGAATATGGAAGTTCTGAGTGTGCCCCTGCCGTTCTGTCTGAGCGAGGGGGGAGGTTGTGCTCTGTCTACATCCTTGGCTGCACTTAACGGGCTGCAACTGTTTACGCAGATGTGTCCATGACGTGCCATCACAGACACAGATTCTAGTAAAAGGAAAGTCAAAGAATGGAAAAGATTTTAGCCGCATGCTGATTGCCTCTCAGCTTGTGTGTGCTCTCACTTGATGGTGAACACCAGGACCAGTTCCTGTTTCCCTGAAGCACCAGAATGTGCCTACACTTTCTTCCCGCATGATACCTGCCCCCCAAATATCAAAAGGGACCCTTGAAAGATGGGCTTTGCCGTATTCACATCCTGTCTCCTCATGTTCAGATCCTACGTGTTTGTCGCTGTGGCTTCACGTAGATAGAGCAATGTCCCCTCTGTCGGTTGTTTCCGTTCCTTGGCAGAAGTGAATTTGACCGTAAGCATCAATAGTCTTTGTATGTGAGCCTGGGGAACGTTTGCAAGGGCTCGTTATTGTTATTAATGATTAATGATGAAATTAATGTTAAATTATTATTACTAATATCTGGCTGTCTACCTATCCCCCACCCCCTCTTCCTGCTGAGGAAGCACAAACACATGTGTTGGGCACCTTGTATCAGTCAGTGCATGGGACTTTCCCTTCTAATTTAATGCGGTTTTACAGTTCAGTTTAGACGATTAGCAACAGGGATATATAGCATGCAGCTAAAAAAAGGAATTTATATATGATTTTAAGGGTAGAGGACAGAGAGCTGCCCTGTGATTTTTAAAAAAAAAAATGAATTTCACCGAGCACTGTAACCGGATTGTCACCAAGGCTAACAAGAAAGCAAATATCCACATTTAAAATAAAATGCAGGCATATAAATGCCATATGGTGCTCTCGCAATGTTATTACCCCTTTCTTTGGCTTGCATCATTTTTCTGACGTCGCTGTTTGCTTCTTGCCTCTGCTGCTTTTTTAAAAAAAGTTTCACTTGCCCTTAGCCCTTTGGTTCTGTATTTCTATGAGGTATATTTCTCTTCTCCCTTTCTTTGGAGGCTTGTCAGCCTTTTCTCCAGGGAAGAGGAGGAAAGAGGACCTGTCCAGATGGCCCTATAAACATGTGACACCTGCTTCTGGGAGCTTCTCTAGCGGGAGTTTGAGGGTTGAGGAGATTGCCCCCTGCCTGAAAAATGGGCACATTGCTTCCCATCTCTTTTCTCCTTTTTAAAGATGATCACATGCCTTTTTTAATAATATCTCTAGAAACGTCTTGAATCCAAATTCTTCTCTCATCCTTAGGGAAACAACAACACAGATAAACTCACTAACCATACCTTGTGAAAAATTCATATCAAAATTTAAAAAAAATTGTTTTTTTTTTTTTTTTTTTTTTACAATTAACATTCTTTCTTGGAGTGGGATCCTTGATGGTTGCGTTTGGGGGACGTATCTCTGCGTCCACAGGGGAAATTCATAGGGGCTGTGTCTGCACTGAATGTGCCATGGTCTCCTGTTCAGATTTTTGCATGGGATATTTATGGTGCTTTGGACAGGGCCTGTCGTCCCCCAGCTCTGAGGGGAACTGTCAGGTCTTCAGGGAGGTTTTCCTGACTCCAAAAGGAGGTCAGCACCCCCTACTCCCATAACACCTTGCACACCCCCAGGATGGCATTCATCTGTCTGAACTGGAGTTACGTGCTTCATGGCTGACGTCCCCATCAGCCTGAGAGCTCTGTGAGGCCCAGTCTCTAGCCCAGGGCCAGAACCCGGAACCCGGAGAGCACTGAATCCATGCCTGATGAATGAATAAATGAATGAATGAGCATTAGCCTGCGTTTTGATATGGAAAACGACCTTGAAACCAAAAATAGTGTTGTATACTAATAAATGGCAATGGGGGACAAAAAACCCCACCCTGGTCTTCACCTTTGAAGTGCAAATATTTTGGTTAAAGGGGGGGTCCAGGAGGGGGGCTGTCCTCTGATCATGCTTATTGCACACTGCACACAGTATTTATGTGCTCGGGGCTTTTGTTTCATTAGGCAATACCTGTAAGCATAATTCTCCAGACTTTGCAAGGCAGCCTTGAATACAATATACAGTTTACTTTTATCCAGTCGTTCTCAACCCTGTAATACCCAACACCATCTTTTGGAGCAAATATTCATTAGTGCCCACTTACCACATTGAAATAAATCTCCTAGATTGTGCAACTCATCTACACATATAATTTGGAAAATTTCAATAGTATTTTCTAGCTACAGTATAAAGGAGAGATAAAAAGTAGATCATTTACAATAGAATAATATGCTTCAGTAATAGGCATTTGGGCATGAAGCCCTAGGAGACCCACCGAAGCAGCAAGACCCTCGCGTCTGTGTATGGAACGTGGTAGTTCCAAACATGGGTCAGTTCAGGTGTGTCCCCCCAGTGACTAAGATGCTACAAGGGATGTCCCCCCAGTGATGTGCTTTTCAAAAATGGAGAACAGTCCTTGGCAGTGTTCCAACTAGTCAAGATTCAACCTTCTTGCAATTTACATTGATTGGAGTCACATTCTTGTAAAGTTCAGCCTATATTGAAACTATGCAAAAAAATTGTGTGTGTGTGTGTGTGTGTGTGTGTGTGTGTGTGTATGTGTGTCTACACGTAAAAGGGAGTTGAGTTCTCAGCTCAGGTAATTATAAACATGAATTTTTCTCCATGGGATAGTCAAAACTCACAGTAAGTTTGGGATTCTTGTCTGGTTGGTGACACTAACTCTTGTACATTCTTGGCCCCTCCCGCTGCATGCCCGGAGTGCCCCTGTGATCGTGACAACCACAAACACCATCTCAAATTTACCAGTCACTTCTTAGGGGGTTACAGTCTGAATGGGGTTGTTAAAAAAAACACCAAACTTCCAGGGAGCCCCTGTGTAGCTTCGGGAACACACACATATGATTTCTATTCTTGTGTGAAAGGCTGTGTTCAAAAGCCAAGACTCTGTCCTTCGTGCAGTTCCTGTGCTATTAATATTCAGTTCCATTCCACAAACCTGTCCTGTGTGCCTGCATATATGGCCATCGCCTGTGCCCCTCTGTAGTGGATACTCTTACTAGTGTTCTACGTTACAAAATCCTGACAGTTTATCTGTTCCTGGATGAACAGTTTTCTTTTATGTCCTTTGTAGGTTGGTTTACCTTAAATGATTACTCCCCTGTTTTCCCTAGGTGCTAAAAAAGAGGGAGCAAGTGTAGAGAAACACACCGCGCATTTGATACAAAATGGGGGAGACACACATGTGGGTAGACAGCAATGCAGGATGAGTGGGTCCATCGACAGGGGAAAATGCAAAGAACAGAGACAGCCAGAGGGAAGAGAGGTAACTCTAGCCAGAGGGCAGAGGGCTTCCTGCAGGAGGCAATGGTGGATTTGTGTTTCGAGGAGCATCAGGAGTTTGACAAGCATAAAAAGGGGAAGAGGAAGAATATCCCAGCAGACAGAACAGCCTTTAAAAAGCACAGACGCAAAGAGGCACATGGGTGGCTCAGTCAGTTGAGCATCTGACTTGGGCTCAGGTCATGATCTCATGCTTCATGAGTTTGAGCCCCACATTGGGCTCACTGCTGTGAGCATGGAGCCGGCTCCGAATCCTCTGTCCCCGCCCCCATCTCTCTCTGCCCCTCCCCTGCTCACGCTCTCTCTCAAAAACGAATAAACATTAAAAGAGGGCACAGAAGCATGAAGCGGGATTCTGTCTCTTTAGAGGGTAAGCTGCAAAAATGACTGGAATTACAGGCAAGACGGAGAGGGACAGCAGATGCTTGCCAACAGTGGGGCTCCCGGCACTTCTGCTCAGGAAGGGGGGGGTGACACATTCTGCGGGAAGAGGAGGTGGCAGGGCAGCAGGCAGGATGCAATTACCGCCTTGGAGCAAGGCCACGTCCTCACGGCCGCCGCCGCCACTGTAGGCACGTGACCCTGGGATTCCGAAGGCTCAGACAAGGCCCATCTCTGTTCTTTACTGTGGGGAGTATGGACTCTGCCTTCTCTGTTCCAGTTTTCCCTCCAGGGCGCGGCCATCATGTCTGTCCCCAAAGCAAGAAAGACCAACTGCATCCTTACGGATACTTGTGCTGTTTCTCAAGGGAGCCATGCAGCATTCCGGAGCAGTCCACGTTGCCTCTCTCCCTTTTCTCCTCCTTACTCCTCTCTCTCCCAGTCCCCCGCCCCCTCCTTTTCCTTCATTACAAAGCTGACAAAGAGAACTTGGCCATCGTAGAGGCTTCGGAAAACAGTACACAAAAGAAAGTAAAATCTTGCGGAAGCCCCTCGTCCAAGGAGATCTGTCGTCAACACGTGATAATGGTGCTTCTGAATCGTCTCTCTTTGCATCTTTTGCCCAAATGCCGGGCACTGCACTGGCATGTCGATCCCCTTCCCAAGGTCCTCTGCCCTCTGACGCTTGCAGGGGCTGTCACTCATGTTTCCCCGTGTCTGTCCTAGCTGCAGCCTGTGTCTTCCCCATTAACGTCTCTGGGTCTCCATTCTCTGCTCTAACACTGCTCTTGGCATCGCTGCTGGTCCCCTCCTGCAGGGCTGGCCTGTAGGAGGAGGCAGATACTGCCCTCTCTCTAACTCTCCGTCCCGGGAATGGTTGCAGCCCTTCCCACCGCACAGCTGAAACCCGCTGTAATTTCTAACGAGACTTTTCTGTAGATATAGGAACATCGGAAACATTGTCATGCCACGTCAGGTTGTAGTTCAGGCTGATCTTGGACTTCAGAGGTGTATGCCTGTCCCGGGGACCACATGGGGCCGCGTCCCTGACCTGCCTGCAAGTGGCTAAAGCCAGCTTACCCTGACCTCCTGGAGAGGCCGTTGCAGGCAGGCAGCTTAGCTGACTCAGGAGAAACCAACTTTGGATAATTTAAGGAGAAAAGAAAACAAAAAAATGAAAGGATATCTGATAGCTACCGAATCCCCGGGATGGATAGAGACCCAGACTTGGGAGGTACCCAGCCAAGAGCAGTCACCCAAATCACGCCACGGAAGTGGTTCCGGAAGAAGCCACTGTCGTTTCTGGCTGGCATAGGTAGCATCTTGCCGTGCTGACCCCATTGATTCTGGGCCGTAGCTGCTGCTGCTAGGACCACACCGTGACTGCCCCCAAAATGGGATAGAATATCATGACTGTGGCCACCGGCCCCAGGATGGCACCCACATGGTCCCTGCTTCTTTGTAGAACTGACAGTGTGTCCACTGCTCCCTGCCACCTCCCTGCCCCCATGGAAGCTTCCATCTAGTGCTGTCTGGCTTCACCTTGACTGAGGGCAAAGTTGTCTCTCCATGCCCCTGCCCTGTATAGTGTCCATGTCCTTCAATCTCTGTTCAGGAGACTTCCGGGGAGCCAAGAGTCTTGTGCAGCAGACTGGGCACAGGTGCTGAGGTAGTTGCGTCCACACTAGAGGAGGGCTCTGCATCTAACCCCTTCCTCTCTGCCCCTGGTCCCTCAGACTGTAGGTTCTGCTAACCCCGCTTAGGAGACCCTGGGAAGATGTAGTCCCTTCCCACCCTTCTTCCCTTTCCAGGCCGAGTGGCCATTCTGCCTTCTCTCTGTCTTTGACCCTAGCCCCATCTTATCTATTCCGTGGGAGAGAAAAAAAGTGGTTTGGAGGCGCCTGGGTTAAGCGTCTGACTCTTAATTTCAGCTCAGGTCGTGATCTCACAGCTTGTGAGTTCGAGCCCCACATTGGGCTCTGCACCGACCGTGTGGAGCCTGCTTGGGATTCTCTCTCTCTCCCCCCCCCCCCCCGCCCTTCTTTCTGCCCCTACCCTACTTGCTCTCTCTCTCAAAATATATAAACTTAAAATTAAAAAAAAAAAAAAGTGGTTCTGCAGGCATGCCTCTGGGAATCTTTGCTCCTCACTTAGGAATAGCTTTTGGGATACCAGAGAGAGGAAAACATACAGAAAACCATAGAAAAGATACTCCAAGGCCAAGTCTGTCACATCTGTCTCACTAGTGTCTGGTTCAGAGTCTGACTTTTGTCTCCGTGGTCGGGGAAGCCTGGGCTACATGCTTGTGTCTTTGCAGGGGGGAGGCTGGGAGAGTGCGTACTTGGCATTCTATAGCTTCTGTCCTGGGAGGAGCATTGTTCTGTTTTGCTCATCAGTGAATTGAGCTCAGTAGGTGCATGATAAATATTTATTGAATGAAAGGGGAGAAAGTATTGAATTCAACTTCATTCACAGCTTGGAAAATATTCTGCAAAAGAAAATTTGTTCAATCTGGATGTTTCTATCAAGTTGTCTCAATGCAGGGTTTCCCAGTTTAGGATTTATTTCTTAAAAAAAATTTTTTTTAATGTTTATTTAGTTTTGAGAGAGAGTGATAAAGAGAGTGCAAGCAGGGGATGGGCAGAGAGAGAGAGAGAGAGAGAGAGAGAGAGAGAGAGACATGGAACCT